TACTTGGAAAAGCTTATATCCTGCGACAATACCTTTAACACCATCAACCAAGAACATCTGCCTATCCCAGGTCCTTGGGAAGGACTCGATAAGTGGGTAAAAATGCCAAATCCAGTCTAAACATCTGACTGAGTGTGCAACCAACCATAATAATAATTTATTAAATTTATATGCTACCCAACTCCCAGTGACTCCCGAAAAGTTAATCAGAGCCTAAGGGCCAGCATCTTGGGGACGGCACTGAGATTTACACATCTGAGAATAACAAAGCACTCTGAAGTGCAACGCCACTGCTTATATTTATTGTTGCCAATTGATTTTGATATGGATCTTGTTCCTAAACTTGTCAAATGTTCTTCTTTTGACCAGAACAATATTATCTCTATCTTGCAGAACTCTCTTCTGACGTTAATAAAAGCAACAAACAATTGCAGACTGTCAGATGTTTTATTGTGGCATATAAACTTTGTGGGTGATGTTAATGTGACTCTTGGCTTTTGAAATATTTTTATGACTTTGAGAGAGGAAGAAATAGAAACATATAAGATGTGTGTGTCTGTGGGAGAGAAAAGAGAAAGAGGTTTCCAGGGAAATGTAAAACCCAGTAGCGTGCCCATCAGTACCAATATGTATCTGTGAAGGCGTCCTTTGGCACTTGCAGTCTCTCTGCCCCAGGTTTTTAAAAAATATTATTGCAATGAAAGGAAATACTAAGTGGGAAGCCTTTTTTGACCTTCACCCCAGCCTCTACAGAGGCTGTTGAGTATGCCCATCTGCCCAGGAAAAGAAAAAAGAGAAGATGAGAAGTAGAGAGCATACAGAGAGCCGCATCAGTTTTCCTTCTGATAAATTGGTGTTTTGGGACTGATTAACCATAACCACTGTCAGTTTTTGAGTTGGCAGGTCCTCCTCATTACAACCATTTTGTGGAAGAGCTTTCAGCTTGGGGCTCACCCTCATGTCCTTCTAACTGTGGCAGAAAAGATGCCCCTCAAACTCTGTTTAAATGCCATGTCCTTATGATGTCACCTTTGTCTCAGCCCTGGCCTACAGCAGAAACAGCTTAACATCATCTTTCTCTGTTCCGGGTTTAAAGTAGTGCTTTCCCTTTCTTCCCAACATGGCCTTTGCTGTGGACGTGACCTTAGATGCTTCCTTCCTGCATTGATGACACAGGGCAGGGAGTGGGATCTGCCCAGCTCTTATTGGTCACCACTGGTACTGTGGCCAACCCTGTCCCCTCCAATCACTGTGCCCAGTTTTCTTGGGCCATTCTGCTTTGGACAGTGGTATAGTCTGGTTCTTTTAGTTGGACTTGCAGCTAATTCAAGAGGTGGAAGAGACTGCCCAGTAAAATAGGAGACTGGCTGTCCTGCTTTACT